CACCTTCTCCTCAGTTATTTTAAGACCCTGAGTGTTGGTCCGGCCAAGGCTTGAACCACGACCTCCCGCACAACAAACCGACGCTCTTACCAACTGAGCTAAATTTATATTTATCCTAAACATATATAGGCATACAAGAAAATCTTATTTTTCTATTGAATATATCTTTCTCTTTTTTCCTTCCATTTTTCCTTTCTTCCTATATTTAGGTCATGAAATTAACACTAGCAAACTTGCAAAATATGGGTGAAATTTTGTACTGTATTTACAAGTGACAAAAAATTTAACTAGCCACGTTTTGTAATTAAGTATGACCACAGTCCAAATATTGAAGGGTTGAAAAGTTTAGAACCTGCATCAAGTAAAACCTGTTATTCACTGTGTCTGATTGCTAATGACTTTGAAATGTTTGCTAACGAGAACAAAACTTACTAGCAAGGTTTTGCTAGTGGGTTTAAGAGTTAATTTCGTACCCTGATATTTATCTGTGTTTTATTCATTCATTTATTCATTGCATGCATTCTTTTTATTTTTTTTTTAAATAACATATGGTCTGAAATGGAGGGAGGGGGGCCTAGCATAACGCCAAACAAGGTCTATTATTACCATACACTTACCCTGTGAGAGAGCCCTCATCACTGAAATAGTCCTTGTCAACATCTGATGAGGGGTCACTGTCAAACTCTATTGGACCTACAAAAAGGATTAAAAGGATTAGAGAGAGAAAAAAGAAAAGTGAAAAGAAAAGAAAGAGTTGGAAATAAAGAGAAAGTGAGAAATAAGAGAATAGAGAATAGAAATTAGAAGTCTGAGCAGAGAAGTGACAAGAATAATAATAATAATAATAATAACTTTATTAATGTCTCTAATCTTCTAGCCGGGCACAAGTGCCCTACTAATCGGGGAGACAAGAAGAGAGGAAAAGAGAATAAAAAAGAAGAAATGAGAAAAGGAAATAAGAGGAGAGGAGGGAAGAGGAGAAGAGCTAGGAGGATCCATAGAAATTTCTAACCTTCATTTACAATATAGTCCCCTTCACAGTTCCCTGCACCATCTTGAAAGGTAGCCGTAGCTTTGTATCGAAGCGAGACGAACGTGAGCTTGCAATGATAGAGACCTGTGAATAATTGTCTGAGGTGTTAAAAAAGGTCTCTATCATTGCAAGGTCACCATTCGTCTTGCTTCAATGCAAAGGCATCGCTAACTTTCAAGATGGCGCAGGGAACTGTGAAGGGGACAATTGTACTATTGTATTGGACTAAAGCATCACAAATTGAATGGTTGCAAGCTATAATTTTAATTTATATACTATGTAAAATTAGAAAAATACCAGAAAGTCGTATTTTTTATCTCTCCAATTATTTATTTAAAATGTCATTGAAACAAAAACATTTGAAGACGATGTCCTGATTTAGTGATTTGTTAAAGTCAACAAATGTACATACATACGTACATCCGTTTGATACTATAGTTATTAACAATTATAAAATTCATTTTTACCTCCATCTGAGCTCCAACGATTATGAAAACCAACTACTTCAGCTTGATTAGTCCCTTCTTCTTCTTCTTCTTCGTCTTCATCTTCGGCTCCTGGTTCATACTCATCGAGATCAGAACTCTCCAGTTGTTTTGACAAGATGTGCTCAACACCATTCATCTCGTTTTCCGACGGTCTTTCCTCTAAACTAGACGACGCTTCCATATTATCATTAACTCGATAGTTTAAACTCCTCAAATAGCCTCGCTTATCAAGAAAATTAAACGCAGTAAAATTTTTTGTGTCGATTAAATTTTTTAAATGGCGCCAGACGTGAAGAAAGTGTTCAGACTAACACTTCATTTTAAAAAGGAAGGAAACCTCAGAGACGTCATCTTCTAAGCATTTAAGTTGCCAACCAATGAGGCTGTCGTAGTTTTGATGTCCAACTGCTGTAGTACTCCAGTATATCGTAATATTATCACAAATATCTCCCCTGGTTTTGATTCAACAAATTAACGCTCAAAAAACACAAACAAGTCTGGATGACCTGCAACAAAATCTTGACCAAAAAACCACGAGTAATTATCCCAGAGGCTCCAAACTAACAAAGAAAGTTCCTTATGCGTTAGTCTTTGAGTGTATCCTTCGTATTTTTCGTAGGAAGAGGTTTTTGATGTATTATCGTGGTGGAAAAGTCGAGCTTTTGGTTTTTCTGTCTTTTTTCAAAACAAATGAGCGCGGCCATGACAGCACTGAGTAACCAAGCCATGCCATCCCCCGCGCTACTCACCAGTCTACCAGTCCATACTCCTAGTTATGACACACCACCAACAAGTATAAAACACCTGATGTACACACATATATACACTTGTATAAATCATGAAGATCTTAGGATACAGAAACCTCCAAGCCATCATTCATACGTGCCTTAGGAGTAATATCTTATATGTCCAGAGCTTAAAGGTATTTTTCTTGTGAAGTATATGATTGGGGATTATGTAAGAAGTTGTGTATCGTAGTGTAACGTCATATTCGTTATTCCTTCAGTAAAATAAGTATTAGTTCTACATCAGTTATCTGTAGTTAGAAATAGCATGGCTTGCTACTTTAGTTGTGCTTTTTAACTAATATAATGAAGAATGCTAGCAGATAGATAGTAGTGTTTTGGGATATATGACATCTGACATTGTACAACTGGTAGCTGGTCATTTAGTAGCAAGATTATTGGTTGACAATGTATAAATATACCAATATTACTTCTGTATTTGGCTGTGAGATATATTTTCTTTGTACAAATTTATTGTATTATTTGTCAGAATTAACAATCCCATAGTTTACCTTGATTCTCCTTTTTCCTATGTATACCAACCATATTATAAAGGCTTCTGTGGTAAAAAAAGCAGTCTTATGCCATCTCTTTACACACCCAGGTACCCAGTAGATTTATTTCAAGGGCATGTTTCCCAAGATCAAGTCTTAATCCTCGTACTAGTAGAAGTATATTACAGAGAGCCGAGAGTGGACCTCACAAGGACCAAGCATTCGTGCGGTCTTCTAAAAGAGGCCCCATTTCCTGGACATCATTTGTGTTGTTTGCACTTGCTGGTGGTGGAGTAGTTTATTATGTAAAATACTTGAAAGAAGAAAAGGAAAAAGGTAGAGTATGCAAAATATCAAAGGTTGGGCTACCTGTGGATTCACCACAGGATGCTCAACATTTTTATTTGGATTTTAAGAGGACCATTTTTCAGTCATCTTAACAACTATTTTTGTCACAGCTACCCTTGATTGGCCAATTTATGGAAAGAGATATATACTACGCTTCCTCTCTTAATTCCCTCCCTCTAGAACAAACAGGTCCTAATCTTTTCTTTTTCTTATATCCAGAGAAAGAAAAAGAGAAGCAGAAGTCTATAGGTAAAGTAGCCCTTGGTGGTCCATTTGACCTGATAGATAACACAGGTAAACCAGTTACTGACAAGGATTTTAGAGGCAAATGGCTGTTGATATATTTTGGCTTCACACACTGCCCTGATATCTGCCCAGATGAACTGGAGAAGATGGCACAAGCAATTGATGCATCTGGTAAGATAGCTAGAGTATACCACAACCGCCACCAATAACAACAGCTATGAAACGGCACCACCAACTACAACAACAGCAATATACTGACAACAACAACAGTGACAACAACAATAGCAACCCATATTTTATTTGCATGTATAATCTGTAGTTTGTGTTCATTCATTATTGTTTGAATATGAGTGGTCCCAAGACTGATCTTTGAGGAACACCATAATATATAGTATTTACTAATCATATTCAGTTAGGTAGAATGATACAAACTGTCTCATTTTTACCATAATATTTATGATACTGTAAACCAATGATTGTTGTACTGACTTATTTTCTGGCTACTTTTCCTTGATTTTATCAGACAAGGCAACCAAAGGCAAAGTGAAAGAAGAGCTACAGCCATTATTTATTACAGTAGATCCAAGAAGGGATGATCCTAAGGCAATTACAGAGTACTTGAAAGGTAAGAAAGAAAATGGATGAGTGACACAGATGATGATGATGCTCAGTTGATGATGACACTGATGATGATGAGTTGGAATAGTGAAGATATTAATGAATATGTTTAATGATGATGTTAGTGATGATGTTGATGATGATGGTAGTAATGATCATGATGGAGTGATGATGTTGATAGTGATGATAATAATGGTGGTGGTCGTAGCCCGGGGGGG